CTGTGCAAAGCCCTTTGTAAGCCTGAAGGTTCATACGAGAAGGCTAGAGCAAACACATCCATGGCAGGTGCTCAGGCAAGTTTGCTGACTGACTGGGAGGGTAAAGGAAGGCCTCCTGGGAGATCAGACTCTCCCCCCAGAGCTCTTCTGAGCTCCTCTGCCCAAAGGGCCCAGCTGAGTCACAAGGCCACCCAGCCTAAAAGGGGGTTCAGTCCTAATTACGCCCAATCTTAGGGCGCCTTAAAGGAGACGTGACATCTATTGTGTCTTTGGAGCCCCCCAACAACCCTGCATGGAATTACAGGGGCTGTTATCCCATTTCCCATATGAGGAAACAGAGGCTGAGAGTGTTCAAGGGACTTGCCCAGGGTCACACAACTAGTAAGTATCAATGGTAAGATTCAAACCCAGGTCGTCCTGATGCCAGGTGCAGCCTTCCACCACCTCTCTTAAGCACCGAGGAGCCTGGGCTCCTTCGTGCCTTTGACTAGAGAAGAGGGAGGTCAGGAAAAAGGTGAGACCCAAGATGGCGGGGCTTCCTGTCACTCTCCTAGCCCCACGTTCACGGGCCAGAGTGGAGGAATTCCAGAAATCACAGACTTTCCAGAGCTGTCAGGGACCTTGGCAGTCTGCTAACCCGACGGCCCTCAGAGGCAGAGCCCAGAGAGGAGACAGGAAGGGGCCATCCAAGGTTCAGAGTACTCCGGGAGCCACGACAGCCTAGACTCCTGGCGCCTTCCTAGACCAGGCTTAGGAAGGACAGCCTGCCCTGCTTGCTGCTGTTAAAAAATGGCGGCTTTTCTCTTTGTGGGGCAGGGGTGGGAGGAGAAGGACATGGGGGGGTCAGGTTTATGAATTCATTGGGCCCAGGGATCTGGAAACTCTCTACACTGACTCCAGCTGTGAACTTTGATGATGTCTAGTCTGGAGAACCGCCGCTGAGCAAGGAGAGGCTCAGGATCTGAACCCAGGGCTTCCAGATGGAGGCGAGCCTTTCCCGTGGCTTGTCATCTCCCACTTTGTCCTTTGGGAATGGGCAGGGCTGGCCGGGTCCTGCTTGGAGCAGGGACGTCATTGGTCCCATCTGCCAGCAGAGGGGGCAAGTGGACCAGCATCTGGTCCTTGGGCCTTCATTGGCCGTGGGGCTGCCCAGCGAGGTGGGATTGATACGGTCCATCTGTCTCGTCCACTCTGGCCTCCATGCAGGGCCAAAGCCTCTTGGGCCTCTGCTGCACACGCTGGCTTGGTCAGTCTGTTAATGAAGAGCCAGGCACCACACTGAGGGCTGGGGACACAAAGGCAGAGGACAGGCCCTGCCCTCCAGGGGTTTACATTCTATGGGGAAGAGTATCTACAGAGCAATGGGGTGAGAGAGGAAGGGAATTCACGCCTGGGGCATCCTCCCCCAACAATCCCTTGACATAGGTGCTTTGGGGTAAGAACTCCCATCTACAGATGAGGGAAGCCATGGTCCATGGTCACAGCCCATTAGCTTTTGGACGCCAGTTTCTACCCGCCCGGCTGGGTGTCACCACCCCATCACACAACATCCTGCCACCTTGCTTCACCATCCTCCAATCTAACAAGGTTCCACTGGCTTGTTAAGCTCTGGGCCACACGCCCAGGGGACTCTTCCACTCTTCCGTGGCTGTTTTTCCTCCTGATGCTCTGTTCACGTTCTGCCTTTGCTTCCTTCCTCCTGGAATGGTCTGGTACTTTCAGTCCCCCACCCCCACCCCTCATTTTCCTTATCACTCACTTCCTGACTCCTTCCCCTCTGATTGTGGTCTCCTTGGGGGCTGGATCTCAAAGCACCTCCATCTGCTCTCACACCAGCCTAGGTCTCGGCCCCCAGCTGACTTCTGGGGGGACAGAACTGGCCCTGGTGGATTGCCTTGCTCTTCCTTCAGGCTTGGTGGAGTGCTGCTGAGCCCCCACTCCCAGTCTCCCACAGTCTCTTATCCTGGTGACCTATCACTGGGGATCTCATCAGCTCCCATGGATTTAATTACCATCTCCATGCTAACAATTCTCAGCTCTAACTGTTCTACCTCAGCCTCTCTGCTGACCTCCAGCCTCGCATCTCCAACTGCCTTTCAGACATTGTGAACTGGATCAGAACTCGCCATCTTTCCCCCTAAAACTGCCCCCTCTTATCCTCCCTGGTACCTCTGAGGGCACTCCCAGCCTCATCCCCCAGGGTCACACCCTAGGGGCCATGCTGGGCTCCTCACTCTCTCTGTTGAAATACTTGTGGAATACAGCCCCTTGATACTGCCACCCCTCTGGTGCAGACCCTTGTCACCTCGTGCCTCTGCCACTGCAGTAGCTGCTAGGGAGCAGGCTCTGCCCACCTCCAGTCCATCCTCCAAAGAGATCTTTCTGAAGCGTCGCCTTCCCTACTTAATAAACTCCCCTGGCTCCTTATGGCTGCCACGTTCTGCTTGGCCCTCAGAGGCCTCAGAACCCAGCCCCCTCCTCCCTTTTTGGCTTTCTTGCACCTCCCTCACCCATCTGTGTTCTTCCATCCACTGCTCCCTCCACCCCTGGGCTCTGGGCATTCTCTCTGGCTGTCCCCCAGGAACACTCTCCCTCCCCGGCTTCCTGAGGCCCCAACTAAAGCCCCCCCCCCTCCTCCAGGAAGCCTTCCACATCTTCTCTAAATTGCAGGGCCTTCCCTCTGTTCATTCTTGCCTATTTAACCTGCACGTTTGGGTGTTGTTAGACTGTAAGCTCCTTGAAGGCAGGGGCTGTCCTTTGCTTCTTTTTGTATCTCCAGCACTTACCACAGCACCTGGCACACAGCTGTTTTATCACTCACATCTGACTCTTCGTGACCCCCTTTGGGGTTTCCTTGGCAAAGATAATGGAGTGGTTGCCATTTGACAGATGAGGAAACTGAGGCAAACAGGCACACAGTAGGCAAGTACTCACTGACTGACACAAGTATTTGAGTCTCACAGCAGGGGATGGCCCACAGCAGTGTGTGCACACACTGATTGCCAAATATTTGGTTCAGGGAGTCGGGTTCACACTCTGGTCCCAGCCTCACCACTGATTTGCTGTGAGCAGTCAGGATCTCCATAAAGAGTGGATTGACATCTGGGTCAGACTTCACTGGGAGTGTTACCAGATGGCCAGTGATCTAGAGTTTGTGGAAGGGAGAATGTTTAGCCCCGAGGAGAAGCCTAAGGGAGGGTGGCTGTCTTTGAGAAGGGCTCCATTTGGCCCCAGAAAGAGATGGGGGGAGCTCCAAGAGGCCCCTTCAGTGAGGGCTGTCTTACAGCGGCCTGGGCTGCCTCGGAAGGTGGTGAGCTCTCCATCCTTGGAGGTCTTCAAGCCCAGAGCCGACAAATATTTACTAGGTGTGTGGTAGAGGGGCTGGACCCTGCGGTCTCCCCCAGTGCCCTATGCAAACAAAATCCTGGAGCAAAGTTCCCAGGAGGAGGAGGTGGTGCACGATTCTGCAGGGCTGGGGGCTTCGTCCAGCACTCCCACTCAGGGCACGTATCAATCAATCTGAAGGCTTTTCCCATCCTTGGCACGGCCCCGTGTCAGAGCCTCTGAAACATCCACATTTTCGGAAGAAAGCTGGGGTCTCTTCCCAGCTCCCCAAATGTCTGCCAACCCGCGGAACCTTGGGCAGATCACTGGACCTCGCTGATTAATTCCCTGCTCTGAAACATGGAGACAAGGTGGTGTCCTGGGGTCTCCCGGGGCCCGGGTTCGAATTCCTTCCCATGATAACCCCACTGAGCCTGGGCCAGTCACTTCCCCTTATGGTGCTTAGTTCCCTCATGTGGAACGCCGAGCAGGTCTGGACGATGACCTTCCAGCTCTCAGTACCGTGAGGCCTAGGAGGAGACCTGGAAAGCCCTGGCCCAGCCCGCTGGCGGGGAGGCGCTCGTGTCTGGAAAGTCACTCTCTTCACAGCCTGGCCAAGGCCCGGGCGACCTCAGGCCTCAGGAATTTGGAGCTTTCCCATGTCTTTAGCTTTAGCTTTAGGAGCTGCAGGCCCCAGGCCAGATGCTGCATAATGCCGGAGTCCAGGAGCCCTGAAATGGGGCAGTCCCCAGAGCAGAGCAGCCCAGCTCCTCGCGTGGCTACCCCGGGGCGGGCAGAGGCTCTGGTCAGCGGCTCTGCCCCCACCAAGGCCACCGGGCCGGAGGGGGAGACAGGAGGATGCTTCCCCTTAGCACGGCCTATAAGCGGGCTCCCAATGAACCCCGCGCCACAAGGCACCCGCTGCTGGCCTACACTTCCCCTTCCTGTCATTGCCCAGCCCCAGGCCGACAAAACACGGAGAGGGTTGGGACAGCCTCTGAGGTTCCTTTGAGATCTAGGTTTCATGGAAGTCTGTGGTCTTCTCATCCACCTCTGTCTCAGGCAATTGCCAAGAGCACCCCAAGAAGAAGAAGAGAGGGAGCTGGGGCAGAGAGGGGAACTGTCAGAACACGGAATGTCAGGGCTGGAGGGGCCTGAGAACAGGGGGTGTCAGGGCTGGAGGGACCTGAGAACATGGAATGTCAGGCTATCAGAACACGGAATGTTAGGGCTAGGAGGGGCCTGAGAA